TTGGGCCAGCCCTTCTCTGTCTTCCGGCTTCATCACACCCCTTCCCGCAGCCTGCTGCAGATCCGTGCCCCCCACACCTGTGATCCTTTCCCTGCTCCTCCATCTCTCTAGTTCTTCCTCGGGGAACCCTTTGCTGCCCCACCTGGGTTAGGTCCCTGTGTCTGTGTACCCAGAGAGCCACGCCTATTGCTCACTGTGCCACTGTCCTCCAGCTATGCCACCGCACAGCGTTTATTGAAGGCACGTGTGTAAGAGGAACTGACGGGAGGGAAGTCTTGGTTCCTAGGCGGTGTGCAGTGGAGCAGGCTTCTCCCTTCCAGCCCTGCCCCCGGCTCTCTGTCCACACGAGTGCTGTGGAAGAAGCTACAGATTCTCAAGGAACTGGCTGTCACACTTGTCATCGTCCTCTCTTAGAGAAGCCGTCCAGAAAACTGACACAGACCTTCCTATGAACATGGGAACAGCAGTCTAGGCTTCCTTTTTCTCAAAACACAGCGGAATAAAGAAGCTCTAATGTTCATATATCAGTATTTAGGAAAAAGCGGCCATTGAGCTAAACCATCAGTTGTGACTGAACCTCACGTTGGCGTAAAATCACAACTGTTGTCGTGTAACTTCTTTGCAGGACGTCGCTGCCTGCCCCCATGTTCACCAGAAGCGATTTCAGTGTGTGGAGCATATTGAAAAAATGCATTGGCTTGGTAAGTTCGGATGGACTCGTCTTAAAGCCTGAAGCTTGAACATGCTTAATTCCTGTGAGTTAATTGCACTGCTTGTAGTTTAAGAAAGTATACTATGCATATTTGAAAACAGCATGAAATAAAGACAATAAAACGGGAAAGGAACATATATGTAAGAGGAAGAAATGGGGGAAAAAGGTAAATTGTTTTAAAGACCGAGTAGAAAAACAGTTGAGACTGAAACACAGGTTGAAACGGTCTGTGAAAACCACGCTTCGCTCCTTCTCGGGTGTTCTCGCCCCTGTTCTCCTCAGGCGGGTTACTTTTCACTCTTACCCATTTCAGGCCTTTTTCCCGGAGAAAACTTCATGCTGTTTTTAGCTTTTTATTCTGAAGGAATTTTAGACTTAAGAAAAGTTGCAAAAATCGTTGAGAGCGTTCCCTTAGACTCTTCACCCAGCTTCCCCTGGGGTTGAAGTCCCACATAACCAAAGTACAATCATCAAGACTAAGGGTTCTCTCTGGCGCATTTCTGTTAACTGAACAACAGGCTTTATTCTGTTTCAGCAGCTTTTCCACTGACAATGGCCTCTCTGTGCCAGGATCCCACCCAGGTTCCTATGTGACTTTAGGCATCA